GTCTACCCCTTTGGTGGTCAAAGGACCCTTTCACAGGGGTCGCCTAAGACCATCCTGCATATCAGATATTTATATTACAATTCATAACAGTAGCAACATCACAGTTATGAAGTAGCAACGAAAATAATTTTATGGTTGGGTCACAACATGAGGAACTGTATTTAAAGGGCCAGAAGGTTGAGAACCACTGCTCTAGCTGCTGCTCATAGCTCCAGAGGGTGGAGTAGAGAGCGTCTTTCCAGGCTGGAGGTAGTAGGCCTGGTATCCGCAGCTGCTTCCTATGTCTTGTAGATTGTAAAGCTGGGGTTCTGCGCTGAGCTTTTCTCCCTGTATGCTCGAACTACAACTCCCAGGGTGCCCTGCGACCTGGGAGTGCGCAGGCGCGGGTGACGGACGGGGAACCAGCCTCACAGACAGCGCGGTCGTGTTGGGGTGCTACTGGCGGGCGGGTCCGGCAACTCCCTGGGAGGCAGACGGGCGGGTGCCGGAACCGAGCTGCGGCAGTCCTCGCGGGTCTGTGAAGGAGCCGGTGGCCCCAGGAGGCGCCAGTCAGGTAAGTCCAGCGGGTGCTTTCCAGGAAGTCCGTCTGCGGGCGCGGGCAGGGAGTCGCACCGGCCATGGTGGCTGAGGAGGGAGAGGTTGCTGCTCTTCCAGCCGCCGGCCTGGGTCTTCTTCCCCACGGGTCCCTCGCAGGAAGCGGGGGACGCCGAGGGCGACTTTGGGGTGACCGGGCCCGGGTGGGGGCCCTGGGGCGCGCTGGGTGGCGCCTGCGGTGGAGGCGCGCGAACCTTGAGCTGATGAATCACTTGGGGGCCCGGCCTCCCCGGGTTCGGGACCAGCCCCCTCCTCACCCCTCCCCTCCTCTCCCGCCGCCTCCACCCCACCCAGGCGTAGCCCGGGGGACGGTCATCTTAAAAGGGTTTTCTCACCAGTACTTCTTCAAAGGTCTCTGCTTGTTGAAAGTCCGAAAGGAAAAAAAAACCACCTTAGGGCACACCCTTTTTTAAAATTAAAATCTGGCTTGTTCTGCGCTCGCCGGTTTGATCTCTGCTCTCTCGTCTTAGAATAAATTCCTGGCTCCCCAGTAGCACAGCTGGATCCGGCTGTGAAGTCGCTTGTGTTGGTTTCTTTTGAGGACCTTGTACTTTTGCCTGCGGAGGTTGGTGTGTTTCCTCGGCAGGCCTGCATTCTGACTATAAACAAACGAGAAAGAGCCGCGGGTTTTTGCTTTTTTTTTTGTTTGTTTTGTTTTATGTTTAGTTAAGAATCGCGTTTCCGACTTGCCCTTGGCTTCTCTTAAAACCAAAAGTCATCCGGTAAGGAACACTGCAGTAAAGCTTATCGCAGGAGGTCATACTTGAACAGGAAATAAGCCTGTGAAATGTAAATTAGTTATGTGCGGTCTCTCTCGGCTTGTAACATTTTCATGCAGCTCATGTTTCTTTTTCTGAGAATCCTTTAGATGATTTTTTTTCCCGGCAAATTAAATTGATTAATTAATTGGTCTGTCAAAAAACAATACGCTTAGGAAAATAGTTTTGTCCAGCCTCATTTACTTGTGCTAGTCTCTTCCTAGTTCTAGGCACTTTTTTACCCTATCACTTCTTTGAGAGCCCTTAATTTTATTATAAATGCATAGAATCTCCTTTCTAACACATTCCTGTGAAAGGAACAAAAAGGGAATGAAAATGTCAGATCCAGTATGTTCTCACTCTCAGCTTGCTTACTTTTTTTAAAAAATATATTTTATTGATTTCAGAGAGGAAGGGAGAGGGAGAGAGACAATCATGGATCAGCTGCCTCCTGCACGCCCCCTAGTGGGGATTGAGCCAGCGACCCAGGCATGTGCCCTTGACGGGAATGGAACCCGGGACCCTTCAGTCCGCAGACCCACGCTCTATCCACTGAGCCATACCGGCCAGAGCTCAGCTTGCTTACTTTTGGACCTCTCGGGACTTCCAGCTTGCTCATCTTTAAAATGAGGTTGTTGACCCTAAGATTATAACAGCCCTAAGCATGTCTGATTTTTAAAAATTCATGATTTTATTTATTCAGGAAACATGGGCCACAGGTGTCATTCCAAACCCTGTGCTATGCGTGAATGAACAAAAAATGAGTTCTGGAGGCTGTTACTGACCTGCTCAATTTCCTTTAATCATATTTTTATGACTAATTCCAAAATTTTGTTATAAACCCTTCAGGCCCTATTACTCTGTAATTAGCTTCACCTAAAGTTAAGACGTAAAGTCAAACTCCATTACAATGATTGGTTTTAGTCTAAGCAGATTTTCCTAGTCTCAGCTACTGGCCCATTTAAACAAAACACAGGTTCCCTGCAACACAAAGGACTTGAATGGTGTAGGATGGTGCTTCTTAAACATTAACATGCATAAATCATCCGTGATCTTGTAGGTCTGAAGTGGGGCTCTAGAACTTGCATGTCAGACCACACTGAATATCAAGGGTTGGGAGATACTTTAAGGCATCGGTTCTCAACCTGTGGGTCGCGACCCCTTTGGCGGTCGAACGACCCCTTCACAGGGGTCTCCTAAGACCATCCTGCATATCAGGTATTTACATTACGAGTCATAATAGTAGCAACATTACAATTATGAAGTAGCAACAAAAATAATTTTATTGGTTGCGTCACAACATGAGGAACTGTATTTAAAGGGCCAGAAGGGCCGAAGCCGGTTTGGCTCAGTGGATAGAGCGTCGGCTTGCGGACTGAAGGGTCCCAGGTTCGATTCCGGTCAAGGGCATGTACCTGGGTTGCGGGCACATCCCCAGTAGGAGATGTGCAGGAGGCAGCTGATTGATGTTTCTCTCTCATCGATGTTTCTAACTCTCTATCTCTCTCCCTTCCTCTCTGTAAAAAATCAATAAAATATATTTTAAAAAAAATAAATAAAGGGCCAGAAGGTTGAGAACCACTGCTGAGGTGTTCATAATAACCGTTTAAAGATAGGTGCTGAGCCCGGCCACTGTGGCTCAGCATTTGAGAGTCAACCAGGAAGCAAGAGGTCGCTGGTTTGATCCCCGCAGGGCATATGCCCAGGTTGTCGGCTCCATTCCCAATAGGGGGCCATGCAGGAGGTGGCCTATGTATGAAATTACTTTCCCATTGATGTTCCTACCTCTCTATCCCTCTCCCTTCCTCTCGCTCTAAAAACCAATAAGAACATATTTTTTAAAGAAATAAAGATAGGAGCTAATAGCTGTGATATTAGATGCATAGTAATTGTTTTTTCCAACTCTCAGTTTTAAAAAATAATCCTATTCCGTGGAGGGTTGGGGTGGGAAGGGGGGACATGGTAAGAGATCAACCGAAGGACTTGTATGCATGCATATAAGCATAACCAATGGACACAAGACACGGGGTTGGGGAGGCCCGGGGAATGCCAAGGGGGGGCAAAAAAAGGAGACATTCTCTTTGTAATACTTTAAGCAATAAAACAAAATTTTAAAAAAAATTAAAGGATTGCTATATTAAAGAAAAAAAACAACAACAACATAAACCTACGTTTCTATGAAAAAAAAATCCTATTCACTTTAACAAAAGTAATTGTTTTCACAAGTTTTTTTTCTACTCTCTCTCCTTGCTTTCTTTCTCTGCGCAGAATCCTCTGTGTTTTCTCCTCTCTCATCCTCTTCCATCTTCAATTGTTTTCATTCACATTAATTCAATCATTCACTGATTCAACCTGTGTCTTGCCCCATCTCGTACAAAGCACTGTCTTAGGCTCATGGCGAATACAGACATTAAGACACGGTTTTTGTCTGGGAACTACTCTCTTTGAGATGAGGCATAGTACAGAGTGCTGTAAGAGCCATCTGTGGGGAATAAAAACATGCGGTAGGAGTTCAGAGGGAAAGATCTTTTACAGTTGTGGGGACGGGAAACAAATGAAGTCATCTTTTTTCCACTCACTGGTCATCTCTGTCTTCCCAGGCTATACTCTGTATACTGTGTGAGTTTATGTGCCATATCTACAATAGAATACAGTATAATTTTGTAGATTTATTTACTTGGAACCTGGGGTGAGCTTGATATACACGACAATTGATTAGATATGAGTAAATCATAGGAAGAGTGAGAGGTGGTGAGGATAAAAATATACCTGGATAGAGGGAGGGGAAAGATGAAGAGAAAGGAAGACAGAGGAGGACCCAGTAAAATAGAAGGAAAGATCTCAGTAGGTTTTTAGGAGTCAGTCTGATGTACACTGCTCTTGCTATTTAGGCTGTGTTATCAACTGTTAAAGATCAAATTAGCTGGCATTCTTCATTCTTTTCAGTTTCCCTTAAATTTAAAAATTATGGGCTCTTAATTAAAATAATTGAAGAGAGTATTATTCTCTAGGCTGTTATAGCGGCTAAAGCACTATTGTCTTTCTATCCTCAACCTTTCTTGCTGACATTTGATTTACATGCCTTATTCTCATTCAGTTTTATCTCAAACCTCCAAAATCACAACTATAACATTGTATTGAGAGGAAAATGATATAGAAAAACAGAAAATTCAACTGGACTTGTAACAATCCATTTGGTACACATATTGAAATCCTAAAAAATCAAACTTGGTTTGCTCTTTATGAAAAATTAACATGAACACATATATCTATCTACCCATACATGTCTGTAATCCATTAGATTATTTATAATAATGAAGGAATAGAGATGTGAATAATCCAAAGAGGCAAAAAATTGAAAATGTATGTGTAGTAATGTAGATTTCATTTGAAACATCCTTAACCTATGCCTTGAAGCAGATTCCTGTTTTGTATGTTTTATGAAGTATAATTAACATTCAGTAAGATGCGCATATCTTTTTTAAAAAAAAATATTTTTATTGATTTCAGAGAGGAAGGAAGTGGGGGAGAGATAGAAACATCAGTGATGAGAGAGAATCATTGACTGGCTGCCTCTGCAACCTGGGCATTTACCTTGACTCAGAATGAACCGTGATAGGTGGATGCTCAATCACTGAGCCACACCAGGCAGGCAAAATGAGCATATCTTGAGTGTCTAGTTCAAGGAGTTCTGATAACTTTATACAATGTAACTTAAACCAAGACAAATTAGAAAACATTTCCATCACCATGGGAAGTTCCCTCATATCCCCTTCCAGCCATTTCCTTCACCCACCCTCTCCAAAGGCAACCACTTTGATTCCACATTTCTAGCACCATAGATGTGTTTTGCCTAGTCATAGACTTCACATAAATGGGATCGTACAGTAGTATGTCTTTTTTGTGTCTGGCTTCTTTCAGATAACAATGTTTTTGAGATTTTTCTGTGTTATGTATCTTTGGGGGTTTTTTTGTTTTTTGTTTTTGTTTTTGTTTTTTATCACATCAATGTGAGACAGGAACATCGATTGCTTCTCAACTGTACTCACCCTGACCTGGGATCGAACTCCAGCCTAGGCATGTGCCCTGACTGGGAATTGAACCTAAAACCTGTTCGTGTATGGGATGACACTCCAACCAATTGAGCAGGGTTTGTTTGTTGTTTTTTCTCCACATTGTTTTTTTTTTTTTTTACAGAGAGGAAG